CACTGCGCAAATCGTTTACATAGTTGTCTGAAACCATTATGAATAAGGACGAAGCGAGCATTATCGAGCAAACTACAGTACCCGACCTTCGCACTTGGCCTGGTACCTAAGCGCGACGGAGCCGCACCAGTTATGTATGATATGCACGAGTGGACATCTCATTATTATGATATTTTGCTGCTGCCCTCTTCACCGCATCAATTAATTTATGTTAATTGGGCATGCTTTCTGAGAATTAACTTGAAACTTGCTTATAAGAACAGAGACCTACCTATGGTCTCGAAAGGTCTCATGATCTCAAGGAATAGCTCGCGCTTGTATTTCTCAATCGAAATAATGGGCAAGAAATCTGTAGAAATATTTCAAGTATGTCGCTGCCATTGATACTGGTTTTTAACGGTATGTCATATTTATAGTACACCTAATTTTTCTTGCAAATTGTTCTTAGATGAATAAAATATTGGGAAATAAATATATAGGAACATATTCGACAAACTACATTAATTGATACTTGATTCATCATTTGAATGAAATAATACTTTGTTTTATCATTTTATTGAGTTCTATGAAAGCATACATTGGGTAAAAAACATGAATATTCAGAAATAATTATTTATTAAGTATGCTAAAAATATTCAATCAATTAAAATTTAGTCAGCAGATAAAATTGTTAAAACAGTCTACATTGACAATTAATGAAAAATAAACAAAATTAGAATGAGCAAAAATGCATTGTGTGCTGTTATGTAAATAGGATTGGTAAAGAATGGTTTTTTTGAAAAAGTGTCATATGCGACCATCATTGATTTTGATGAAATTTTGTGTGCCGTGTTCTACATGTCTCAAAGGAACTTTTGTTCAATTATAGCTTTATAGATAAAATAGTTGAGATATAGGCTAATGGCTTCTTTGTTCTCGGGTAGCGACTTTATACAGTAGATTATTAGATTTTTGATACGTTGAGAAGCAATATTGGAGTTTAAGAAATTAAGAACTACATTCCATGATTTGTTCCAAAGAATTTCCTTTCACCTTTAATGTTGCATTTTTCTAGAAGATGTTTATTCTTAATTTGAAATAGATTCTTATAGCTATTGTATTGCAAAACTGAGTCGTCACTAAAATAATGTAACAATCCATGGCATTGTACAGTTGTCAGACGTGGTCCCAACAGCGGTGAGATTGCTTGTTCAAGTTTGTGAACTGGGAATTATAATTACGATAGACCAATGCAAAATCTTAGCTGAAAATGCAAATAGGTGAAAATTGTGGAATTTTATGCATTAATTGTAAAATCGCTGCCATGAAAAGGCTTTCCAATTTTGTTTCTCACTTGAGGCATTGTATGCCAGAATTTGCTAAGAATTCCATTTTTCTCGGGGCTTCAAAATGTGCTCTTTTTAAGTAGATAAGTTTTAAATAAACGTCATTTTCTTCATGAAAGTACGTTTGTATAGAAATGGGTTGAAAATTTACTCCTTTTGAAGAAAGTCCCAAAGGCATAAATTTTACACATCATTTTTACTTTCTCGCTCACCATATACTTAGTTACGAAACAGTATTGCAATACAGCAATGGAAAGTGGCGATTATTCGACATAAAACTCGTATTATGCGTCTGATATCCTGATACCGAAAAATGGATGATTCTTGCGCCTATACAAAGTAAATTACTTACACTAATAATTTGGGGGTCAAGTGACGTCCAGTCTCGGTAAAGTAGGCGATGCTAGTAAACCTACTCTAGAGGGAGAGAGAGAGAGGGGAGAGAGAGTGAGAGTGAGAGAGAGAGTGAGAGAGAGAGAGAGAGTGAG